TGCTTTCTTCTTATGTTCAACCTTATCTTGCTAGCAAGTGAGACAAGTGCAGACATATTCTTCCACATCATCATGCATCTGGCGGCCAATGTTCGCTCCCAACCCGAATGTCCTGCCCAAAGTGTATCATGGCCCTCCCTAAGAAGTGTCTTTCTCAAATCACCAGCCCTAGGTATAAATATACGGTTGCCTGTTGTCATTAGTAGTCCATCTTGCACCTAAAATTGGCAAGTCTTGCCCATTTTGACAAGGTTCATAAGATTCTCTGCCATAATATCCTTGTCTAGATGAGCCCTAATTTTCTCCTTGATGTTGGTTGAAATGGAAATAAGTGAACATACATGTTAGCACACGACAAGCTCTGCCTTCCTACATAGTGCATCAGCAACATGGTTGGTGGCACTAGCCTTGTATTCTAAGGCAAAATCAAACTCTGCCAACTTCTCTTGCGACCAAGCTTTTCGTGCGCTTAGCTTAGGCTGTGTTAAGAAATGGCTAACCGACGTGTTGTCAATCTTTACAACAAACCATGAGCCCAAGATGTAGTGCCTCCAAGTCCTCAGACAATGCACTACTGCAAGCAACCCTTTCTCATGAGCAGGATATCTCCATTCGGTATCATTGAGCTTCCTACTCTCGTAGGCAATTGGGTGACCATCCTAAAAAAGAACACCACCTAAAGCAAAATCAGATGCATCAGTTTGTATCTCAAAAACTTTACCTAAGTTAGGTGGAGCAAGAACAGGGTCTTTAGACATAGCTTCTTTCAAGACCTGAAAGGCTTGTTGACACTCTTCCGTCCAAACATATGGCTTACCCTTTCTTAGTAACTCTGTCAATGGGGAAGCTAGTCTTGAGTAGCCTTTAACAAACTTGCGATAATAATTAGCCAACCCAATGAATGACCGTAACTCTAAGACATTAGCGGGTGGCTGCCATTCTTGAATAGCCTTGACCTTCTCTTGGTCCATTTTGATGTATCCATGCTCAACAATGTGCCCTAGGAACTTAATCCTCTCTTGGGTAAAAGAACACTTCTCTAGCTTGACATAAAGCTTATGCTCCCTCCACTTGGACAGTGCTTTCCTGAGATGTTCCACGTGCTCTTCTAGAGTGGAGCTATAAATTACAATGTCGTCTAAGTATAATACCACGAATTAGTCTAAGTACTCTTGAAAAACTTTATTCATCATGGTGCAAAATGTTGCTAGGGCATTGGTCAAGCCAAATGGTATGACTAGAAACTCATAGGAATCATAACGAGTAACACATGCAGTTTTGGGCTCATCTCCCTTGGCAATTCTTACTTGATAGTATCCCGATCGAATATCTAACTTTGTAAAATACCTCGCTTTGCTTAATTGATCAAATGAATCTACAATTAGAGGAAGGGGATACTTGTTCTTGATGGTCAGCTTGTTGAGTGCCTGATAATCCACACATAAGCAAAGACTACCGTCATGCTTCTTTTGGAACAAGACAGGTGCACCGAAAGGGGCCTGTGATGGCCTAATGAAGCCTGCTTCCAATAAATCCATAAGCTACTTCCTTAGTTCATTCAACTCAGGAATAGCCATTTTATACGATGCACGAGTTGGTGACTTTGCCCCTGGCAACAACTCAATAGCATGATCCACACCTCAGTGTGGAGGCAACTCCTTAGGCAGTTCAGGCATAACATCTGCAAATTGCCTTAAGACTTTCTTGACTGTGGCTGTGACAGAAGTAGATTCAAGAGCTTCATTCAACTTCAATGTGGCAACCCAAGTTTGTTCACCATGCCAAACACTCCTCTTGAGTTGCATAGCTGAGACAAACTGGTCACTGTTGTTGGTGGCTATAGTAGGAATAAGACATGGCTTGTCCCCTATGACACACATACTATTAGAATACGGCATGTCTGTCATATTTGTGATTCTCAAGAAATCCAACCCAATGATGGCTTGGAAGTCAACCATGGGTACTGCGGTGAAATCTACTCTTCCTTCCCAAGTGCTGACCTTCAAATGAACAGATTTTGCAACCCCATAGATGGGCTGCGTTGCTGAGTTAACCGCTTTGATGCGGTTGACATCCTTCTATAAAGATAGCCCAAGTCTTTCAACTTCGGTTCCAGCAACAAAGTTGTAGGTGGCCCATGTGTCAATCAGAGCACAGAGGGGGTTCCCATTGAGTTTTACATCCACAAACATCAAACCTTTGTTAGATGACTTACTCTTGTTCAACTTGCCTGATGATTCTCTACTATACATAGGTTTCTTCCCTTTGCCTTCATCTTTAGACTCCACAAGTTGTTTAGGATCTGAATGCTTGCCCACTTTGCCACTCTTGGCATTCTTAGGCCTCCCTGTAGAAGCCTTCTTCTCCATGGCATTCATCATATGAAAGGCTCCCACTCTAAAGCCAGCTGCCTTAGAACCTTTGCCACTTCGCCTAGACTACATGCATTCTTTCTCATTATCATCGCCACTTGGTTGAGAGACGCGTTCAGACACTGCTACTAGAGTATTAAAGGCACGCTTTTATGGATATTTAGATAACCGATGTGGCCCATTGCATAAGAAACAAGAGATAAGGCCCTTTGCTTTGCTTGTAGAGAACTGTTGAGAGACTTTTGCCTTGTCACCATAGCTCTTCTGTTGCCATTTTCCTCCACCCGATTGGGTTTTGGATGTAGAAGTGTTGGCTTCCCCACTCTTAGGTTTGCCATGGCCTTGGAACTTTCCACTTCCCTTACTCTTGCGTGGGGAACCACTATCCCGTTGCTTAGGTTCGACGTAGTCCATAAGGCACTTAGCTGCTACTTGGGCATGGGCTAAATCTTGCACTCTTTGCCTTTGAAGTTTAACTCTGGTCCATGGCTTCAATCCTTCAAGAAAGAAGAAGAGCTTGTATTTCTCTGACATGTCTTTGATGTCTAGCATTAGCCCAGAGAATTGTTTCACTTAATCTCTTATAGTGCCGGTGTGCTTGAGATCCCATAAAGCACGCCGGGCATTGTACTCAACATTTTCAGGGAAGAACTGGAGCTTAAGTTCATGCTTAAGTTGCTCTCAAGTCTCAATTGTGCATAAGCCGCGTTGCATATCATCATGTTTAGTCCGCCACCACAACTTAGCATCACCGGACAAATACATTGTGGCCATGGAAATCCTTGTCTCCTCGGTTTCAGCTTTCACAGCTTTGAAATATTGCTCTATATCGAAGAGAAAGTTGTCTAACTTTTTGGCACCTCGGAAGCCACTGTAGGCACGGGGCTCGGGCACACGCACCCTAGGGAATTTCATGCCATCACCGAGTGCGTTGCCAAAGGCACGGGTAAGAACACCAACCTGGCCACTAAGATCTTCAATCTCTAGCTTGAGTTTAGTGACAACATCCTCTCAACCATGCCCTTGAGTAAGGCCATGAGTTTGCTCATGATCATGAACCCGTTGCTCATGGTTGGCTAATGAACTTGCCAAGGCATCCATGTTGTCCATGCGCTGCTTCAAGAGCTCAATCCTCTCCCTTTGCGTTGGTTGACGATTACTAGGATTATCCATTTAGAAAGCCAATAATAGAGAAAGCCAAATAGATTGGGCTTTGATACCAATTGTCACACACTGGTTGTGCGGAAGCCTTGTCAAGAGATAAGCAAGTGTGTGTGGCGCTAGTTAACTCTCTTCACTAGCCCGCCAATAAAACTCAAAGTGTTTGCAAAGACAAACAACCACAATATAAATTAGTTTATAAGCCACTAGGTTGGTGACAAGCCACAAATTAGCAAGTAACAAGCTAATTTAAAGCAAGCAACACTAGAAAAGTTTTGCACAATTTAAAGATGAAGTAACTTTCATTGATCAAAAGAAGGCATTACAATAGTTGAACAATGCACCAAAAGTGCTACAAGAGTTGTCTTACCATTGGCTAGGTTGGGATACTTTAAAGGCACAAGTGGTTTGATTCAACACTTGGGTACCCCTTCCTTAGTATAGCTTGTTAAGCTATTTTCTAGTTGGTAAGAGGAAACATCCACTATATTTGAGTAGTCATAATGGATTTTTAAAAATTCTACAAAAAGAGAAAAAATACAATATTTGGACCCAAAACACCTTTAATACTAAGATATTTACATAAAAATTTACAAGGCAAAAAGACTACATTTGACCCTCCAAAAGTTGGCATAAAGTTGTTGCTGGGCTGGTTGTTGGCATGGCCTGCTTCATGGCATGTCGTGGGCTATCTTGCACCATGTCTTGGGCCTTGGCTTGCACTTGCATCAACAACTTTTTGGGCATGTTTTTGGCTCTCCAAATGGCACAAATAAGTGTGGCATCAAGGTGTTAACCCTTGGATGGGCGCACCTTGACACCTAGCCTTGTCTCTGGCCTGATCCTATGCTTGTTGTAGTGGTGTTTTTTTTTTTTGCTTTGCCTGTGTTTTTTTTTTTTTTTTTGGTGCTTGTTTTTGCTATTGGTTGTTGTTATTCTTGGGTGGGTTGTATCTCTTTTTGTTTTGTTAGTTTCTCACCAAACTTGGCTTGAGCTAGCAAATGATAGGGTGATACTCTTGGTGCCTTGATGCCAACCTAGTTGGGATGAAATGAGTCATTATGATGCTCTTTGGTCTTCGCCTCATCTTTATTGATGTAATCCACATTATATATACGTTGATGATATCAATAAAGTTTTTCTTTGCTGATAAAAAAAAAAAATTGTAAGGAGGATTCACATAACAGTGTTCATCACATAAGTTGTGTTGGGAGTATTAAAGTAACGTCGTCCATGTGTCTGCAAAGTTTCTATAAAATGTTCGACATGATGAATAAATTTTTTCGATTAAGACACATTAAAAAAATATTCAATATGTTCTTAAGATTGTTTGTCGAGAATCAATGATTAACATAATAGGTCATCTCTATAAAAGTATTTGTACTTCTTAGCTACATACTTAGTGTCTCTCTTTTACTTCTTGTGGACATAAAATGATCAATGTCCTCATTTTTGACAACTTTGCAGGTGGAATTCCATCAGAGGTGGGCTATCTTGTCAATTTGGAGATATTCAGTGCAGGTAGTAGTTCTCTTACAGGGGCTATTCCATCTTTTATCTTCAACATGTCTTCATTGAGGGTAATTCACTTGACAAACAATAGACTATCTGGAAGTCTCCCATTGGACATTCAATATGATCTCCCTTTTCTTGAAGAGCTACAACTTCAGTCCAATCAACTTTCTGGCCAATTTCCACCAGGCTTGTGGGCATGTAAAGCGCTTAAAAGGTTATTATTGTCATTTAATGATTTCACAGGAAGCATATCTAAGAATATTGGGGAGCTTCTATATACACACACTAAACCCCCTCTCCACACACACTTAATGAAGGAGGTGTGTGGAAAGTGTAGAGAGGGGGGATGTGTAGAAAGTGTGTTGTGTGTGTATATAGAAGCTCCCAGAATATTGGGAACCTTACATTGCTAAGAGATTTACATCTTGGTGATAACAAGTTGACAGGTACTTGCCAAACTCTACGGTCTTTATTATCTTGAATTTAGAGTTCGGTTTTTCTATCATGATTTTTTTTAATGAATTTGTTATACATGTTATTACAACACAATATCTAATCATTTGAGTTAAACTAAAGTAAAACGATATTCAACTCACACCTCCTAAAGCGACGTAGTGTTGTTTTAACTTTAAATATAGATTGTTGAATTATTACAATAAAATAATTGCAGGGAATCTTGATCCACAAATTTATATAGTAAATCCACAGTTTGAGTTTGGAAACAATCTTGTAGTTTCTCTAATGTTGTGTTTGGATGTGAAATGAATAGATTTCAGCACTCATCAGACATGGAGTACAGTTTAAATTTAGGAAAAAGTTATATGAGACATCCCTTAGAAGGTGTCAGAACCCTACTTAAGAATATGGGTAATTATACTTACCTCCCCTTAAGGTTTATTAAAATTGTAGAAACCTCCCCTGAGATTTATGAAATGACTTAAACTTCTTTTGAGGCTGAGTTTTTTATTACACTGATCTCCCATGAGGTTTAATAAAATGAAGAAACCTCTCCTAAGGTTTCTGAAATGACAGAAATCACCCTTGAGATTTAATTTTCAATTACACTGTCTTCCCTTGAAGTTTAATAAAATTGTGGAAACCTCTCCTAAGGTTTCTAAAATGATAGAAACCTCCCACGAGGTTTAATTTTTTATAAGATTTTTTGGCCAAACCCCTCTCCTTGAGCCCCTTTTTAGTGAAAAAAAAAAGTCCAAACTTTTTTATTTGTAAACTCCCTAGAGAAGAAGCGCCTATTTCATGAATGATAAACAAATTTGTTTTTTATTTTTTCATGGACAATCTTACCCTTAGTAACTAATTTTATATTTCAAACTTTAAAATGATATAACTTTTGATCTATATTTTGATTTTTAATAAAATTACTATTTTTAGTTTTCTCTCATCAAGATCTATCAAATAAGATTCATGTTGGCTATGAAATTCTTTAAAAAAAATAGTAAATTTTTTTTTTTGGTCGAAACTAACGTCAACAATAAAACTTTGCTCTGATTCATAGTAAAAAAATTATTCTGGTTTGAGTTTTGTTTGGTGACAATCTATTTATAAATGACAATAGAATTTTACTTTGGCCAAAACTCCCTTATTTATTAACAATTATAGTGACTATGGTATTTAGGGATGATGATGATATTTTACTATTTAAACATTAAAATTTTATAGTAAAAATTACTGTGAATCAGACTAAAATTTTACTGTGAGATAAAGTAAAAGTTTACTGTTGATGTTAATTTTGACAGTAAATTTTATTTTATTTTTTTTTATGGAATTTCATGTCCAACATTGATATTGTTTGATAGATTTTGATGAGAGAATTCTAAAAATACTAATTTTATTAAAAAGCGACATTTAGATCGAAAGTTATATCAGTTTAAAATTTAAAATATTAAATTACTCACTAAAGCTATTGATGTGTGCTGAACTTTTGAACGAAAGATTTTTGTACTTGTCGTTAATGCATGAAAGTTTTATTATGTGGGTGTGGGAGCCGAATAATTGGCAATGCCGGGAAGAACGTACTCTGTAGAATAGACACTATTCGGCGTTATTCGGCGCGCTCAGGAGGCCGAATACAATAGATAAGCCGGATAAGCGTAAATCCATGGAGCCGAATATGAGAGAAGACAATAAGTAACGAGTAGGCCCTAGCCCCGAGGCCCAATAAACGAGTATAAATACAGGAACTACAGATAAAAAGGGAGTGAAAAGAAGAAGGGTAAGAATCTCCTTGTTTAACTTAGAATACAAGTAACCTAGAGCTTGAGACTGACTTGTCCGTCGGAGTGTTAATTCCAGCACCCACGTCGGAGTGTTTATTTCCTTTCAGGTGACTATTTGAGGACTCCTAGCGTCTCCCAGGATTCGAAGGGTATTTCCAAACCACTTCCCCACAATTGGCGCCGTCTGTGGGAATACTCGAATACATCCATGGAAGGCGTAACCAAAGATCCTTTGGTAGCCACTGACGAGATTACATAGAGGGATGACCTTACTCTAGCAAATATGCTCGGAAAGGAAACCATCGCTGCAAGACGCGCTTTGAACTTCGACTCACCAACGACTTTAGCGCAAGAGACAATGCAAGCAATTATGGAACAAGCAAAGCAGAATGAACAGAGGCTGGAGAATATAATCACTGAAAATGAACGTCTCCGTCAAGATTTGGCCCTGGAAGTAGCGAAATCCACAGAAGTCGCGCTCCAAGATCCCGAACGACCTCCAAGGGCAGGTGAACAACGACCCCGAGCCCGACCAAGGGACACCGATAGTGACTCCAACTCATTATCCACAAAGCCCGACAAGAAGGGACGATCTGAAACCTCCAGCTCCTCCGAAAAAGGTCTACGAACAAGGAATAAGCGTAGGAGAAACAGTTCGGATGAAGAAGATCAGCACGATCCCTTTGTCGATGGATTGCAAGGGCAATTCTACCCAAGAAGTTCAAAGCTCCGTCATTTACCCTCTACGATGGAAAATCAGACCCCACCGATCACATCCATTACTACAAGCAAGCCATGACATTGCATGCAGACAACGAGGCCCTCATGTGCCGAATATTCCCCAGCAGCTTGGGACCTCTGGCAGTCAGGTGGTATTACAAACTAGAGCCGGCTTCGGTCAAAAGCTTCCATCAATTACAGAAGTCCTTCAGGGCTAGATTTATCACCAACGAGGTACAGCCGAAACAAGCAGACTCTTTCTGGGTGATGCAAATTCAACCTGAAGAAACACTAAGAGCATATTCGGCGCGCTATTGGGAATGCTTTAATCTTGTTGACGACGCTTGCAACGACTCCATGGCCGTCACCGCCTTCAAAATGGGATTGCAACCAGACAGTGCCCTTTGCAGTTCCTTGACCAGAAGACCCCTCAAAATGGTCTGGGGGTTGATGAAGAAAGTTGAAGAATACTGCAAGGTAGAGGACGATGCCTTGCGGGTTAAAGCCGGACGCGTATCCAGTAAAACGGCCTTCCCTGAAATTGCTCAGCCAATAAGTTTCGTACCGCCTCAAAGCCCAGAACCACGGCAGCGGGGTAAACGAGATAAAAGGCAGGATTCTCGCCGATCGAACGATCAGTGCTCTCACCGAACGAATGAACAACTGCAAGTCGACAGCAAGCGCACGAGACGTACCGACAAAAAATATACGGAACTAACAGAGCAGATCAATGCGGTAATGTCCAAAATCCAACATCTCTCGTTCTTCAAATGGCCGTTGAAGATAGTAAGCCCTCTTGACACACGAATGCGGGATAAACGCTGCGAGTATCACAAAGATCATGGCCACGAAACTGAAGGTTGCTACGCATTAAAGGATCACTTGGAGGAACTGGTAAAAGATGGCCGGCTGCAATAGTACGTAAGAAAAGGTAACCCAACCAAGGCACTAGCCTTAAGACAAGATTCACCTCCACTTGGCGTGATCCATATGATATACAACCTACCAGCACCTCTAACCGTGCACATAAATCAATCGCATCTAGTCCCCCGAGAGCAACATACTCCAACCAAACGGCCCAAAAAAGCTCCGAGTATTCCTTTCAACGATTCTGATCTTGTCGGCATGACAATCTCCCACATTGATCCGTTGATCATCAGATTACGCGTAAACCAGTTTACCGTCGAACACATTCTCGTAGATCCAGGGAGTACGTCGGAGGTTATGTATTATGAGACTCTCATCAAACTCGGCTTCAACGAGTCAGATCTGTTTCCGGCGCCTTATCCATTATTCGGCTTCCATACGAATCCAGGGTACCCGTTGGAGAAGATCACACTACCCGTTCGAGCGGGCTCCAGAACAGTCAAGGTTGAATTCTTGGTCGTAAAGCTTCCTTCGCCGTATAATGTCATCATGGGGCGAACCTGGTTGCATATCATGTAGGCCGTGCCAAACACCTATCATCAGCTTATGCGCTTCTCGACAGCCCGTGGCGTTGAAGAGATCCGTGGCTGCCGGCAGTCAGCATGAACAGTTTTATGAAAGTTATATCATCGACCCGACTTGTGGGCTTTGATACTTGTATTTAGCTGACTTCTGCAATGAAAAGTCTCATCTTTTTCCATCATGCAATTCACTTCCCATTATAGTGTCAATAAGTTTTCGGATTCGGAGCGCCCTTCGTGGATATCACGATTGGCTCAAATAAGCCTCCGGATTTGGAGGGCCCTACGGTACATGACACCTTAGGGCCGATTAAGCCTCCGAATTCGGAGCCCCCTTCGGTGCAAAACACGTTGGGGCCGATTAAGTCTCCGGATTCGGAGCACCTTTCGTGGATATCACGATTGGCTCAAATAAGCCTCCAGATTCGGGGCGCCCTTCAGTGCATGACACCTTAAGACCGATTAAGCCTCCAGATTCGGAGCCCCCTTCGGTGCAAAACACGTTGGGGCCGATTAAGGCTCCGGATTTGGAGTGTCCTTCGTGGATATCACGATTGACTCAAATAAGCCTCCGGATTCGGAGCGCCCTTCGGTGCATGATACCTTAGGGCCGAGTAAGCCTCTGGATTCGGAGCCCCCTTCGGTGCAAAACACGTTGGGGCTGATTAAGTCTCCAGATTCGGAGCGCCCTTCGTGGATATCACGATTGGCTCAAATAAGCCTCCGGATTCAGAGCGCCCTTCGGTGTATGACACCTTAGGGCCGATTAAGCCTTCGGATTCGGAGCCCCCTTCGGTGCAAAACACGTTGGGGCCGATTAAGTCTCCAGATTTGGAGCGCCCTTCGTGGATATCACGATTGGCTCAAATAAGCCTTCGGATTCGGATCGCCCTTCGGTGCATAACACCTTAGGGC